TTCAAACATTTTGGTTGTAAATTAATTATTTTGCTAAGCTCATTTTGTGACATTTTGTGATAACAAGGAAGGCTGAAAAAAAATTGAAGACTGAAATCAAAGGGTTTTTATTTTGCTTTTTTTCCCCTTGTACAACTTTTACTTCTTTTTTATGGAAATTGGATAATTCAAAGAAGATTGGAAACGGATTCAGTTAATGAGAACAGTGAATATTGGAAAAGTAAATGTGAAGTGAATTAGGGGAAGTGAATGGAGGTATGGCAAAAATTTTTTGCATCAAAGAAGATAGATTTTTTGAGCGATACAAGAAATAAATAAGCATTGAATTTGACAGCTGATTTAACAGAATCACTTTTTCTACTTTATACCATCATGTGTGGGACAAAAATTTGGTTAGCGTCTGAAAATAAATTCTTCAGTGTAGAAGTATAGTCTCTTGCGGGTTGTGAATAAAATTAAAAAGAGTTTGGTGGTAGTTTTTTCCTGCTCTTAAACGATTGTCAGTATTTCTTGTATCTTATAACTGTTTTGAATAATGCAGGTAAGCTCGGCGTTTCTTGAAAGTAGTCTGAATTTTTCATTAAGAATTTTTGTTCACGACAAATTGAAGTTCAAAGTGTTATCAGTTGTCTTCTTTTTTTTTTTTTCTTTTTCAAATTTCTTTTCGAGAAAACAGATTGTTCATTTTTGTGCAGAACTAATGGGGTCACCCCATTTTGAAGCATGCAGAGAAAAAATGCGTATTATTTTTCAATTTATTGTCACTTTATGAATTAGATTCTCGAACTGCCAGTTGAAGCATACAATGGATTTCTTTTCGGTAGGTGTTTATTTGAATTGGGTTATTCTTGGTATCTAACAGTCAGAAGTTGTTAGTTATTAAGGGTATTGGAAATTGATAGGAAAGTAGCCTTTTTTAAAGCAGTAATAGTTACAAATTTTTTTTTTTAAATAATTATAAAAATGATATTAAGCCGTTTTGAGTAGAGTTTGCCGTAATTTGTCTTTGTGAAAGTTTATCTTATTCTATTTTTTTGCTTTTTTTTCTTTACCCTTTAGAGTATGAAAAAATTGTTCCTGGATAAAAAGGGTTTTGTAGGAAGTAGTTGTTTGTCAGGTAAAAGAAACGACCGTTATTAACACATTTTTTTTTTGGAAGTGCAGCAAGTTAATTTTAGAAGAATTTCAAAATATTTGTATGTATTTGTCTACGACCTGATTAATGACTGGGTTACATCTTCTTGTTTCGATGGATCAAGGTTGAATTATTAAAATTGAATAGTTTTTTTGTTAGGGATTAAAAAAAATGTAATGTATGGTAAAAATTGAAAAGGATTTTTGGGAAGGACAAAAGAAGAAAGGAAAAAAAAAAGAGGGATGAAAACAAGAATATGACTTTATTGGTGGGATTAAAGAGATGGAGCTTTGAATTGCAAAAGTTGTTAGTGATCGCTATGAACGCAGCAAGCCGTTGCGGGCAGCAACGTGGCAATGTTGCTAGTAATATTATTCATCGTCGTCATCGCCCCAACAAATAAAACATTTTACGCTTTATAGTTATCGGGATTCAGTACAAATAGCTGTTGCAGGTGTTTTTGCTGTTGTTAGGATTATTGTAGTTGGCATTTTTGAAGCCGCTGATACTGTGTTGTTATCAACCTTTTATGGTATTATTGTAGAGAAAAAGAATTGCCAACTTGGAATCTGAATTGTTTATTTGTAAACATTCGTTTTTTTTTTTCAATTTTTTATTTTATTCTGCAATTTGCACTTCATTCTTATCACAGTAGGGTTACTTCAGTATTATTATTATTATTATTATTTTTAATCTTTACTGATGTGTAATTGATCAACGTCATAAATGTATCGGTATTATGTAGAACAGTTGAAAAGGAAAAGATTGCTAGTCAAAAAATAAAAGAGAAAAAATGCGAGTGTAGCATGAATACTAGCCGAAAATTGTTGTTGATACATACATAGAATTCTGTCACATATTGAAAATACTTTTGGACCAGCTGCTGATTGATCAGTTGCTTAATTGCGAATACCTGTAAAAACTTCTGCATTAAATCTACTGTATTAACAATATTTTATTACCTTCTGGAATTTCTGAAACTGTACTAATTTGCTGAAACTTCAACACAGAATAAATACAGAAAAAGAAAAAAAAAAAAAAGAAGAGAACTGAAATAGAGACTTTGTGTGGATTAAATATTGAGAGATAATAAATTTTTTTGTTTTATTCTCAAATGATGTGCCATTCTCAAGATGATCACAGTTTACAGAATCTTGAATCATGTATGGCAGATGAATACTCTGTGATGACTTCATCACAAAGAGAGCTTGATGCTTTTAGGGCGCGGAAAGTTGCACTGATTACCGGGATATCAGGACAGGTGAGCTTCAGCTTTCCAATTTTTATTTTTGTTCCTGAATTACCTCTTCGCAGTTTAAAAATTGGTTTGGACGTTATTACCGTTTAGCACTGTTTAAAGACTCAATTTTATTTATCATTTTGAAAATTTGTACCGTAGATGCACTAGAAATTATTTCTTATTCTTTCTTTTCAGGACGGTTCCTATTTGGCAGAACTTCTACTTTCAAAAGGTTATAAGGTACATGGTATCATTCGACGTTCGTCATCTTTCAACACAGCTCGAATAGAGCATCTTTATTCCAACCCAATTACGCATCATGGCGATTCTGGCTTCAAATTACATTATGGCGATATGACTGATTCTTCTTGCCTTATTAAGCTTATAACAATGATTCAGCCTACTGAAATCTATCATTTAGCTGCGCAAAGTCATGTT